GTTAAAGGGCAGCCGTGACCTCCACACCAGACAGCCGCAATTCAATCGTCATTTCCGGACTATAAACCGCTACTTTTGTCACACGCTTTCAACCGTGTGGCTTATTTTATGATGCGTTCTGATTCAAGATTTTTTCCAGCGGCCGCAAGGGAGCGCTTGAGCAGAAATGGTAACAGTGAGAAGCTATCATGTGTCACAGTGAAAACAACCGGCCATGAGAGGGCGCACTTCACCAGTGTTTTGAGCTGGAGTGCAATCCGAAAGTTGATCGGCTGGGTCAATGACGGATTTGACCGAACACAAAATAATTTTTATGAAGGCTTTATTCCTGACTGGAAATGTACAGCATTAATAAAATAAAAGACTGAGATATGTCAAATGGAACTAACAAATAGAAAAGTATACAAAAATAGACAACAGTAGTGGCTTGTGAGCACTTTTCGGCATGTTGTATGTGCCCGAAACACGTAGAAAACAACTAAACTCCCCTGCTTCACGGCTGTTAACACGACCCACCATGCGACACCGTTCAAACTCCCAAACGACGATATTTTACTCTTCATATCCGCCAGGTTACAATCCCGATTGTAGATCCATCAGGTCTGAATAAGCACAGCTCAGCGTTCATCTCACTTCACTTCCTGGTCCAAGTCTCACGAGATTTCCCACGAGATTATCCAACGCTCCTTTTAAAGTGACAGTGCTCCATTTATTAAACGAGGGAGCATTCGCTACAACAGTCATAGTATTGTTCACGTGGTTACATATGCCAAAAGAAAACCTCCCGAAAGACATTGTCTTTTCGTTTTTCTGCAATTTTGTAAAAAGACATTCTCGATTTTATCTGTGTATTTGGGTCACATTTATGCTTAATGTGTTTGCATTTTTTACCCAATATTTTTTACTTTATTTTTCACATTATATTTTGCTATATTTGTCTAACATCTATCCATCATCTCTGAGCCTGCAAGTATATTAATTCCATCTCTTTAAATTTGTGTGTTTGTGTGTGTGTGTGAGGGGAGAGGGTCATCGACCCCACCCACCCTCCCAGTTAGGTGGGTGAATTTGAGGCTAAAGGTGACACGCAAAAGACCAGGTGTGCAACACCTGTGCTCAGCCCCACATAGGTGAACGTGACTCATCGTCTTTCCTGTCTCCCCTTCCTAACCCTCCTTCGAGCAGCTCTAATTGTGATCTCATCCTTTCGAAAAGCCCCCCCAAAAGTTCTTCACGTTCTTACCCTCACTTATCTTACGCTGGAATGTCTTGCTGTTAAATGGCATCGCCATGAGAGGACTTATTGCCGAGTTTCTTGAATCTAGTGGCTAAAAACTACACTCCACCGTCGGATCAACAGTATAGTAGGCCTTAGTGTTCATCCAAAAACAAAGCATTTGTATTTAAAAACTTGATCTTAATATCATAGAATGCCACCTTGCCCTTATGGTTAATTTGAACAATTAACACGGTGCAGTTCTTATAGATTACATGCAAATGTATTGTACTTAAAAGTTAAAGACAACTGAACTGAAATTGATCAGTGATTGTTTCATGTACCACTCGAGGGAGCCCGCTTAAACAAGTGGTACCACAATGTGAGAATCACTGACCTTACTGTGGATGATGCGTATGATGTCTGGAACATAGTCATCGTACATCAGAGACACTGCATTGAAATGGTAAGAACAAATACAGTCAGTGATTTCGTATGACTGATTAAAAAAAAATTAAAAATTGTAAAATAAACAAACATACATTTAAAACCAACTTTCTTTTCATTTATTCATTTGTCAAATGTGTATTTTTAACATTCAGTGCCACCCATTTTCAAAGCAGACTTCCACATATTGCCCACAGATTTATTGCGGTCTGTCGCAATATAAGCACTCAATAAACCTAAAGGAGACTCTCTTCTTGCACCAGAAAATGTTTGTTCCTTGTTCTGTTCTTTACTAATCAGTCTGCCGCACACCCGCAATCCGCGTTAGGATAACCAGCTTGGATAATGGAGGGATAATAGAACATGGGTTGGTTTCACCAAAAACACTAGATTCTGAACAAAAAGCAGAGCACATTTTGTGGGGGATAAAAAGTGTCAATCAGCAAATTGACTTTGACGATAATATTTTTTTGCTTTTTATGATCCAAGAAAGGGATTTATATATATATATATATATATAAAAACAGCTATTCACATGCACACCCATGGACAATTTAGGATCTACACTCTAAAGTTCCTCTAATATGCGTGGATTTTTTTTTTTTAATGCGGGGAACAAACCTGAGTTATCAGACAAACCCCACGCAGCATCGGGGCACCATGCAAATGCCACACGGGAAGCGCGGACAAGCTCATTTCACGACACTATTCTCTGAGAATTCGCTTGTTAATTTGCAATTTTAGCACGAGATTAGCAGAGATACCATTTCGTTATTTTGTTCATGCAAGGAAATTCTTGAGTGGCAGTGTATTTTCAAATCTTTTCACTTGAATGAATGAGGTGATATTATATCATGTCTCACTACTCGATACACACAAAAATGAAGTCAAGGCCGTTAGTGTATTTGTTTACATCTTCTCCCATTTAGTGTGTCTTTCTTTTTTTCAAGCACTGTTCTTCATAATAGAACTTTAAATAATTTACAGAACATATGCTGTTTCTTTTCTACAGGTCTCAAGAATAATGTGCAATTTACAACAAAAGAGGAAAAAAGTCTTGATTTACCTTGTGTCTTCTTTTCATTGAGAAAACCCACCTAATTAACCAAAAACCCAGGAAAGTCTGTGCGTGTGTATGCGTGCATTTATGTGTGTGTGCGTGTGTGTGCGTGTGTGAGGTGGCCATCAATCCACTTTGTTTCCTGGAATGAGAGTGTGAGTCGCACACCAGTCTGACAGGTTCAGTGGCTTCACAGAGATAGCACAATTAGAATCATTAAGAGTTCGTGTCATAATCATTTGAATTCAACTCAGGAGCTTCCTAGTTTATTGATGGTAAATTCACACAGGTTACAAAGTCACAAAGATAACTCCTAGTTCCGATGCCTCATTAAGGATATCCTAATAGCCTCATTAAAAATAATTATAGTTGTGATGCAGAGAGAGAGAATATACATCTTCGGAAATTGCATTTTATTTGTTACCCAACCGTTTTTTTTCAGTTACTTAGAAAACTATTTTCCTTGACTTGTGATTTTGAAACGAAAACGAGCCATTCGCCAATTTGTTGTGTGTATGTCGTACGCTAATGAGACATTTTTGTGTGGTTCCGCGGTCATCACGGTCTTCTGAGCGAACCCATAGCTGCAGCTTTTTCTGCCAGTTGCACGTCAGTCCGTATGGATGAGATTCGCATTGCTATACTTGTCAGTCACTTGTTTTGTTTCGAGACTTTATTTTTCAGGTGACTGACCCTGATACTAAACGGTAAATGCGTCCCTGCTGGTTCACAGCGCTCCTCACAGATCACAGATGTTTGTTACAAATTGACTGAAGTGTGAGTCGATGTTTGTATCATTAAATTGTTGTGTTCATATTCTGCTCTATTAGTTCTGTTGACCCCCCCCCCCACACCCAAAAAATAAATAAATAAAATAAAATTCAATGATACCCCTAGTTGAAGATGTAAGATGCCTGGAGGAGGAGGTGATTATCTGTTCAGGCGAGCGCACGTGCAAGTGTGTGTATGTACGTGTTTTCATAAAAAAGCCAGGGAAGGGAACTACAGCACACCACACACACACACACACACACACACACACACACACACACGATTCACACTTTTAATTGGAAGTTGTTTTTTCACACCAAACAGGAGACATGAGTATATTGGCATTCACGACAATTTGGATTTGATGTTTCGTGAAAAATGACAATTGAGATCGCTTTGATTTAAAGCACAACAATAAATCATGCTGATAAACAGAACCAGGGAAATAGCAAAACCTGCTTTATGGCATGCGCTAGTTTAATTTTAGCTCAAGTAATAAATGTTTTTTTTTTTTGTTGTTTTTTTTTTTTGCCTTTGCTGAATCACATCCAGGTGAAACTAAACAAGGAGAGCAGTCATAGATCAGCCCTTACTTTGTTTTTTTAATGCTTCCACGGAACTAATTTTTACTTGGGGGAGTACATAATTCCAAGATTTCCATTCAGGGGGCCACATTCACATCTCTTGAGGATGTTAATCAACGTAGCTATTTAAGAATTGTTCCTAGCCATGGAACTATCTGGATCCAAATTCATAACAACACCCCCCATCTTTTTATCAGCCTCTCTCCACCAACCAAGTAGTCTACCGAGAAACAAACAAAAACATAAATGTCCCGCCATCTATGAATTTCTTCCCAACTCGGGTTCGGTGGAGGTCAACTCGCCACAAGACCTACATGCTGTGCAGATGTGCCATACTTTTTTCCAACATCTATTATTATGCTGATTATAACTCCAATCGTTGTCAAAATGCACGTGCGAGTGAAGGGCATGTGCCTTTTGATTGTTTTTGTTTTTTTTACTTTTGAAGTGCCTTCCTATAGCTGCTTGCTGTCTTCTGCCAATTCCCCGCAATGGCCTCTGGTCTCTCTCCAAGTCAAACCTGTTACACCGCGTTTTCCTTGTCTGTTTGCTGTTGTCATTGCCACTACCCGCCCCTTTTAGTGACTTCTTAACCTGCCCTATGTTTTACCTGCGCGTCACCCATGTGATTAAGAGTGATTTTTCCAGTGTCCTGGTTGCAGCGCAATCTTTTTTGCAGCTTTGCCGTCATCGTCATGTCGGCAATGTGGTTGCAACCATGGCCTAGTCCATCGTACATTTTGTCATTGCCCCAGTTTTTGCCTTAGGCCTCATTTAAGTTGAAAAATAGTTCAGTATTTAAGGGTAGTTGACGAAGACATTTTTTAATAATTAATAATTTTAAAATAATTAATTGCTTGTGAATCTACTTAATCAGAATCAATGAGGTTTAGCATGTGGCCATTATCCCTGTTGTAATTAGCTTCATATGTAAATTTTTCCTAATGGATAAAAAAGCTTTTTTTCATTTTCCCTCGGACTATGCATACAGTATTTCTATTTTCTTTACTTCTCATAATTTACAAACGCTCCCTTACGGACAAGCTGGCTGCTCAGTGGAAATACTAAGTGTATTCTTTCAAGTTCATGATGCTGCTGCCCTCTATTGTTTTTTCAAAAGCTGTGCAATCCAACGGCCTACGTTTTTCGCGACAACATGCAAATACATGTACAGTATTGTAATTCACTACGCACGAAAAGTTGTTTGAGACTGAGAATGTCTTGCAAAGTATATTTTTACTTATAGTGGGGAGGGAAAACGGAATTGATTGCAGGGCCACACAAAATGCAACAGTCTGAATACAGTACACACAAAAATATCAACAGTGATGAGTTGAAGAGACAAAACTTGACAGAAGAGTTCTCGATCGAGTCCACCGCATTTCCACTATTTTCTGGGGGGACGTGGACATCACATCCAACGTGTTCGTCACATAAAGAAAGTTGCAATTAGTGTCTGTTTTTACTCACAATTTAGGAATTGTTCACCCGAGTACTTCGTGAATTAATAATTATTATTGAAAAGCAAATGTGAATCAGTAAATCATTCTTCTTTGTTTACATTTTAGGACTAGGTTTGTAATCTATTACAAAATACAGTATAATTCATTAATAAACTGAGAGGGAACGTAATTGCACCGCTTTCAGTGCCAACTGTAGAGTGGAGCCACAGCACGCTTCCTCCGGCTCCTTTTCGGGATTTGTAGTTTTTATTCTCAAGCACTCCGTCGAATATTGGAGAATTTTTCAAAGAGAAAACTACAATTCCCCGAGAGCTCCTCGAACGTGCTACTTGTCAATATGGCTGTTGTCAGACAGACAAAGCGGAGAGGCAAATAATTTCGCCTCTGATTAGAAATCCTTGGAAAAAAGAAGCGAACGGGGCACTGACATCAAACTGCGTTAATACTGGGCCTCAGTTTCAGTCCCGGTGGGCTTTTGGTCGTTTGTTCAAGTTAGATGGTGAAGTGGACATATTAAACCGAGGTAGGTCTTGTAGTTTGGCGCACAATACACTGGAAAGGTTGTTATATTAATATCAAACCATCGCAGCTGCGGCCGCCGGCGCGTCTAATGTCAGCTAGTCATCTCGTCGGCAGGGCTAGCATCTAATGCTAACTAGCACACACCGTATAGTTGTTTCCGAAACCGTCATTATGCTGTTTTTACTTGTTTATGGTGACTGTGGGCCGATGCGGTTATCAAAATTGTGGTTGGAATTGTTTCGTTTAGTGTTGGGTGGTTTAACGCTGCCTTATTCAACGTTATGTCAGAGTAGTATCCGTCTGCCACGGCAACATTTGCTAACATTAGCTGTTTAGGCAAAGGGCGTGAAAACTGGCATCACCCCTTGTTCTGCTTTTGCCCTTAAGACAAATTTGGGGTCCCAACTCTACGACATTACAACTAAAACCTATGCTGGTTCTTAAGTGTGTGTTTGTGTCTTTACATAAATCAACAGATGGCGAACAAGCTCCAAAAGAAAGTCAGAAGTTGGAATGATTGTCATTCTCTTGAGAATTGTATTTTGAAGAAAAAAAAAAAAAGCAATGCTTTTCCAAGTCACGAACAGAGAGAGCCAATGGCAAGAAACTGGAGGTACACGATGGCTGCATGAATGTAGAACTGCAGGTGTCACCTAATTAAATCTACCTATCAGAACACGGGGAGGCATTTAACAGTACAGCGCTCAAAGGACATGACAGTGATTTATTAAGGAGTACAACTGAGATTAGCCCTCAGTGGCCCGGTTGGGCCTGGGTCTGGCGATAGGTAACCGAAACAGCAGCGCATTGGCTCCGGGGCCACCCTGTCAACCTTCCTTTCATCACCTGTGAACAATGAGATCCCTCTGATGAAGCTCTCTGTAGGCTATATCTTGTTCTACTCATTTAGTTTGATTGTGATAGGTTTCATTCTGTACACAGCCACAAATGGCTGTGCACACTTTCAACAACCACATTCACAGTTATTTACTTAACTGTTTTTTTCCCACTGTGCTGTAAAGGTAGTAGATGACTGGTGGGGGAAAAAAGTTTTTTTTTTGGTTTTTAAATCGCACAAAAACCTGTCTTTTGAACTGGGATGTGTAGACTTTTTATAACCACTTGTTGCGCAGCCTAAGTTTGTGTTTTGTGTGCAGGACAGTTATTGGTGTTGCCTTGCATGTCTTGAATGAAATTATTGAAATGAGTTTACAGTCTGTGAATAGTTAACTGTAAATGCTTGAACAGGGATGGCTAATGATCACTGCTTGTCTGTTTTGAGAGTAAGAAAGTGTCTGCAGAAAATCCAATCGGTTATCCGGTGTTGATGTGTATGTTTAATGCTTTCATTTATATTTCGCTGATATCATAGCAGTGTGCCAGCTTTCGTCTTTAACTTTGGTCGATAATCATTGACAGGTTTACTGCATTTTGTGAAGTCGTAACGGTAATGTCGCAGATGTGTGTTCAATGTTCAGCTATAATATCATAAAACCAACCTATGGATTAGAGGCTGAGGAAGTGTGCTGACCCAAAGTGACTCTGCAATACCGATGCTAATTGTCGTTCGCCGTTGAGAGGGTCTTGTGCCGACAAATTGATAATCACAATTCCCTCATTCCATGAAAGTCAACTCCTTCCACCCCCTGTCTAGCACAACTTAAAGTGGCCACACCTTTCTTTTGCATTTCCTCTAAAATTTCTGACCGGATCAATAAATGTATCGAGCCAACCTAAACCTGACCACGTTTTCATCCCCGTCGTTCGAGGTTATGCTGGTACAAAATGTACTGCGGTCTTATTCTAGACGCATTGATTTTTGGCGTAGCAAATTGCTTATAAAAAGCATTGTGTGTGGGTGGTGCGCATATACAGGAGCTGTTAAAGAATGGCGCTCAGAATGTTAAGATCGAATCAGCTGTCAAGGTGACTCTGGCACTCCGTGTGTGTTGCTTGCTGGGTCCCAAAAATAGCAGATTTTTTTTTTTTAATGCCTCGCCCCTCCCTTCCTTTTTCTTTTCACACATCTATCTCTCACTCTTCATTTTCTTATCTGCTGCTGCTTTATTTTCATCTTGGCAGTTTTTGTTCTCTCACTTTCCCAACAGTTTTCTCTCGACTTTCCGTCTTGCCACGCCGCTTCCTCTCCCTGCCTTATCCTTCTCATTTTCTCTGCCCATCTGCAGCAGTGTTCCTTTTCAGCCTTTCCTACTTAATCCTCTCATTTCCCTCTTGACAAGCCCTTCATCCGTCTATTTCGGTCTTCTTGCCGTTCTTTGCCTCAGATTCCCTTTGTATGTCCCTTGACTTCCCCGTTGTCCTCCGTCTCATCACCGTTCTGATTTGTCTCCAGTTCAGCATCAGGATGTCTGACTTCAGCGAGGAGCCTCGCTTCACTATCGAGCAGATAGATCTGCTGCAGCGACTGCGTCGCTCCGGCATGTCCAAGCGGGAGATCCTCCATGCGCTCGAAACTCTGGACCGGCTGGACCGGGAGCACGGCGACAAGTTCGGTCGCCGCACCTCATCCTCCTCCTCTTCCTCTTCCTCCTACATGGTAGGCGGGACAAACAGCTGCACCAACAACTCTGCCTCCAACAACACTGCCTCCGCAACCACCACCTCTGCCGTGACGTGCAACGGCGCCATCAACAATGGCGACGACGGCGTCGGCGACCACTCCGCAACCACTGCCTCCTCGACCACCTCCAAGATATCAACAGCCACGCAGACGCAGTTTGGCAGCAACGGGGGGCTCTCGCCCTCGCTTAGTAACAGCTACGACACCTCACCACCTCCGGCGCCGCCGCCGCCCTCCGCCATCCTGCCCTCGCCCGTCTCACTGGTGGCGCTGTCCCAGAATGGGCGCGACAGTCTCGCTGCCACGCCCAACGGGAAGCTGTCTCCTCCTCGCTATCCCGTGAACAGCGCGGCAGCAGCTAGAACCTTTGGCTTCGAGGCTATCGAAGAGGACCTTGATGTTGACGATAAAGTGGAGGAGCTGATGAGGTCAGTCGAATTCAGACTTACAGTCGTTGAGACTTTCTCATTTGTGATCATTTGTGATTGATATTTGATGTGATTGTAATCAAAATAATGTGTTGCATTTTCCTGAAAATCATTCTTCCTGCAGCGCTACAAATTCCGTGATTCTTCAAAAGAGCGTGGATAAAAACGAAATTGTTATTTTGAATGTACCCGCAGTCAAAATAATTCATTACCAAGAAAAACACAGGATTTGTGTTGGGGAGCAGAAAAGCTTTTCTGTTCCACCTCAGGCAATTTTATTGGATTGAATTTGCCAAATGTCAAATCACATTAGGGCTCAAAGTCACATGCTCAAAATAGCAGCGCGGTAGTTACTTGGAGCCATTAGAATCCATCAGTATTCTCCTGTTAGCCACCTTTTCCTCGCCCTCTAAGCACTTTGCACATTAGCCCTGTCCCACTACTCTAAACCTATGATGTTGTCCTGTGCCCCATATGAACAGTCTGGACATTTTCTCAGCGCATTAACCGCTCCCCCGACATTTTCTATGTCCGCCATGGAAAGCCTGAAGAAGTTAAGTAGCATTCGAGCTCATTCCACGTGCAAGGGCCTTCCAGTGTTCTGTTCCACAGGGCTGCGGGGGGGGGGGCGAAGCTCTTCAACGATCCCACGTTGCCCTTGTGACCCCCCCCCCACACCCTCCTTGCCCCCCCCCCCACTTCTCAGTGCACAGTTTTTGTCTTCGCTGATTTTTTTTTTTTTGAGTCAATCACATCTCCTCCTCCCTCCTTTTGACGCTTCCTTCATCTTGTGCAGATGCTTGTGCTACATTGATTCAGTGGTGTAAGTAGTTTTTTTAGTAAGTAGCTTTTTTTTTTTTTTTTTTTTTTTAACAAATCTAATTTTAGCTGTACTGCAAGACACCAGTGTGGAGCATATTGAAACTGGATGTCTAGAGACCGAATTTTTTTTTTTTTTTTTTTGAGAAGTATATTGTGCAAAAATACAATTTTAAAAAAGTGCTTTGGGCTTCGGTGTGCCTTTCATGTTGATGGTGCTTAAAGTGTAAATGCCGCCATTGTTTGTGGTATCTTTCTGTACCGTCTGTAGCATTGTAAGGAGTTATAGAGCTTCAGTGCTGGTGTATGACTCATAATAAAAACACGCACTGATGCTGTTAATGCAGCCCAGAATAGGACCGAGCCTTTGTTTCATGCTTTTTCTCCAAGAAGACTGTGTAGCCTTGTGAATGTGTACATTCTGGCATCTTTCAACTGGTCATTTTCTTTCCATTGAGTGCCAGGTTTCCTTAGACTCTAAGCGGCGCAGCTTTACGGTAGTGAGGAAATGAACAGGCCAATTAAATGCGAGTTAAGCCATCCCGGATGATGGTGAAAGCTCAGGAAATGACTGGTAAGAGAAGACAACATTTGGAACGATTTGGCCAATCGGCCCTTGCTTAGGCATACACCTTAAAGTCTCCATGAAAGGAGGGGGGAAAAAGTGTGCTGATGTAGTTTGCTTTGCTTAAAATGCATTGCTGCTGTTGGTTAAAGAAAATTTAACTGGCCGAATGGTACTGAATGTTTTCTAAATGATGTATTTCTGCAGTTAGTAATGCTGTTTTTTTTTTTTTTTTTTTTGCTTTTTCTGCAGGAGGGATAGCAGCATGGTGAAAGAGGAGATTAAAGCGTTCCTCGGGAACCGTCGGATCTCTCAAGCGGTGGTGGCACAAGTCACCGGTAAGTAGCAATCACACATACAAAGCCGATTTTGAACAGACGATGCCATTGTTACTCCTTGATGTTCTCTCCAGAGACGCATACTTTGTGAAAGTGCAGCAGTCCGGAATATATTGTATATGGTGCAACAAAATGGCTGATAAACAGAGGGGCAGTCATCTACTCTGCAATACTGGATTTGGAAATACACGATGCCATCCCATTTAAAATCCTACAACAACAAAAAAAATGTTAATTTTGCTCAATGTTCAACATTGTGTCAAATGCTCATCTGATTGTAGGACTGTATTCGCATGGAGAAGCATGCCTGGATGTGCACTCAACTTTCGTGGTGCTCTTTTCCGCTATTTGACAGACTGTCACTCGGCTGCTGTCACATTTTGACACGTTCTCGGAAAGAGTCAGCAGGCTGGAGTTGCATCATTTGGTCACATTTGGCATGGAATGTAAAGGGTCTTTTTATTTTTTTTAACTGCCTTTTGTAATGACTTGTGTGTATTGCCACCACATCCTTGTGCGTTCCACTCTCCCAACTTGGCTGTTGAACAAAAATTCTAAATCTGTGCATTTAGGTGTGGCCAGAATAACGCACCATTGCCTCTTAGGAGTAAAAGGGTGTGACAAAACCAACCAACACTCGCTCCTTGAAGCACTTTGAAGTGCAGATGGGTTCTTTTAAATCACGCAACGGCACACTAGTGATGCAAGGAGCTCATTTACATGGATGGCTGCATTCTTCTCTCATCTGCCTTTTTGTCGCTAAAGTTATTTCAAAGGATTTTCTCCGCTAACTGTGCCAGGGCTTGATGTAAAACATTTACTAATTTGATGTCTGGCTGCCTTCCAGGCATCAGCCAGAGCAGAATCTCCCATTGGCTGCTGCAGCATGGATCCGACCTGAGTGAGCAGAAGAAGAGGGCCTTCTACCGCTGGTACACGCTGGAGAAAACCACTCCAGGTACAGCTCAACGTTTGACTCTGCTTAAGCAAATCCTGGCAATCTGGTGAATTTCTAGCTTTCATGTGAAGTGGAAAACTTATCAAGGGGGGGAAAAAAAAAAAGCGATGTGCTGCCTGCAGTTTCCTCTTTCACGGTTGATGAGATACTCCAAAGTATTCAAGATCTTGAAATGAGCATTCTGAAGTGATTGGTGGAATGCTGCACTTGTACAGCAGATGCATCCACATTTGTGACATTATTGTGAGGGGATGACGAAATGCAAGGAGGCCCGCATGCATGTGACAATGGCCGGCTGTACATCAGTCCACACCCAACCGCTCAACTCACGTTGTCGTCATAAGTCAACTGCCCGCATTCTAATCACCTTGATGATCTTCAAACCTGCTCAACTCCGCACAGACAAACGGGAACTCATGGTTGCTTCTCCTAATGGCCTATACCTTAAATACCACCGCACCTTGGCCCCACCTTTCATCGCATAGCTACTCCACCCCGACACCCGTGCCCAGCAGCTGAGCTCGACTGACTCTGTCTTGCTTTTCATAAAAGACTCAACTGCAGATTTGTGACCGAGCCTACCAAAAAAAAATGATGCTGCATCCCCAAAAATATTGAACATACTGTTCCTAGGCAGCATCTGTTCACCAAAGCGTAATCTTATCAGATATTTCAAGAAAAGTCTGAAAATATTGTCGCATGAGAAGGGACAATGCAGTAAATGCTAAAAGTGTGTTCCGCGCACCCTTTTTAGGACACGCTTGAATGTGGATGCTTAAAGGAGCCGCATGCTGACTTTGCATCTCCGGTGTAAATGTGCTGTCTCGACGTATAGACGGCCGGCAGACATCCCACGCCTTGTCCTCTGCGGCATGCTCCTTTGGTGGAGGTCTGCCAACGCCATCAGCGCTGCAAACGGCTCTTTCCTTGTGATATTTATGGTCACAGTGAGCCCGGCTCACCGCCGCGCACATTTCCATCACTGCTGCAGAGGAAAACGAGGCTCTTTCATGCTGATTGCAACAACGATTGCGGGGTTAACCAGTTGGGCTGGGTTATGACATTGCAAATGTGTCGCACCTTTTAGCTGGATGCCAATAGTATGGTTGCGGTGAGAGTTTTGCTTTGCGTTCATGCTTCCTGTGTTCTTAACTTGAGAAATCTTGGTATGCTCAGCTTAGTGTATTGGACCGTTTGCGCTCTGCTGCACGTGTTTGTGTTCTCGGTCTTTTTCCATAAAATATCATCGCAATAAGTCTTGATAAGTGCAGCAGTAGGGAAATTACGGATTCTGGCAGAATAGTGAAGTGAATTACGGCTACGCTTGACGTTTAATCCATTGTGGACTATAATATGTGATTTAAAATGAGCTTTTTTTTTTTTTTTTTGTGGTTATGGACATATAAAATGCTGGCTTTGTCGCACATGACTAAAATGGTTCTGGAAGTTTGATTGTCATGCAAATATGATTTCAGTTAAGTTAATCGTTCATGTTAAAAATATTCATTTTCAGTTTCGTGTTCCTGGTGGTGAGGACGAGACCCAATTTTTGCAGACAAAGTCCAAATGTTCCTTACAAAATATTCACCCGATAGAGGATGACAGGGGTCGGCGTCCCCGTCTATGTGCCAACTAAACATTGATTCACAATACTACATACAGTACCCAGTTTATGCAGATGGGAATGAGACCAGCATCAAAAGAGCGCTCCTCGGCGCTCTCTTTCTCCCCACCCAGGTGCCACGCTGAACATGCGGCCGGCTCCGTTGCCTTTGGAGGAGATGGAGTGGAGGCAAACTCCTCCTCCGCTGGCCACCGCCCCGGGTACTTTCCGACTTCGGCGGGGAAGCCGCTTCACGTGGAGGAAGGAGTGTCTGGCTGTGATGGAGAGGTGAGAAGACGAGAGTTGCAACTTTTAAGAGCAGAGGCTGTATGGCACTGTCCCACTGATCTCCCCAAACAACAGCGGCTTGGTCGTAGAAAGTGCAAACGGTCTACCTGGCTGCCTTGCATTACATAATTCATTTCGCCTGGTTCTTGTGTGATTGACAGTTACTTCAACGACAACCAGTACCCCGATGAGGCCAAAAGGGAGGAAATCGCCAACGCCTGCAATGCTGTTATTCAGAAACCAGGTAAACCAAAGCCTCGGTAAATGTCGCCTGTGCGTCACATTGATGGTACGGTTTGATTTGGTTGCACAATGAAACAAAAATTCTAAAAAAAAAAAAAAAAAACTGAGTGAGCGAGTAGAATCCAGCCAGCTAAGAGAGCTAATGATGCTATCTCCTTCAAAATGATGATGAAAGCAAAGGCAAGGTAGACGCGATACGCGGGTGGAATGACACCGCTGTCATCTTTTTCCAGGGAAGAAGCTATCTGATTTGGAGAGGGTCACTTCCCTCAAAGTTTACAACTGGTTTGCCAACCGCCGCAAGGAGATCAAGAGACGAGCTAACATTGGTAATGTATCTTTGAGAGAAATTGAAAATAATGCATCAAAATAGAAAATCAAGCAAGGAAATCACAAAACAAATTCTGTAGGGGGGCTACAGAATTTATTTTTTGATTTCCTCACTTGATTTTCTGTTTTTCATGCATTATTTTCAATTTTCGTAGTTTCATTGAAGTAATCGTTAATTTACGTTTTTCGGAGGGGGTCATGAACGCCTCTCGAGTCCAACGGAAGGTAGCGTAGCTCATCTAGTGGATGCATTGTAGATTGCGTTTTATAATCCAGTGCGTCCAATATATGACAAAATAGGCCATTCATTGAAGGTGCGCCTCATAATCCAGTGCGGAAAATACGGTAAATGTCACACTGTGTCCTTTTCCTCCAAGAAGCCACAATCCTGGAGAGTCACGGGATAGACGTGCAGAGTCCGGGAGGACACTCCAACAGTGACGACATTGATGGGAACGATTTCACAGACCAGGTACCGCCGCTTCTCTTCTCCCCACCAACAAGCGCGGGAACTAAATACGCCTCACAATTGAGGACATATTTCGTTCTTGACGTTAGTCATTCTTGGTCGAATCGCTCGTTTGTTTACTTTTATGTCTGGCAACCGGGTGATAAAGTAGTATTCATTCCCGATTCTTTACTGCTGTGACGCCACAAATTTGGGACGTTCTTTTTTTTTTTTTTTGCCCCTCAAATTATAGCTCAGTCTTTCCTCTCCCTGTAGGCATGTGATTTGCCATATTTTGACAAGCGACCTCTCAGCCGACCATTTGGCCTTTACCGCTTGGAGCCCAGTTCCCCGACACAGGTAAGTCTTGACTTTTAGTCACCTTAGTCGTGACCAGGTTCCCTCAGTTCAGGCAATATTATTTGTGAGGTCCCCAAGCCGCATACAGCAGCCGCGATACATAATGCGTCACCTTGCTCATCTTTCGCAGTGAAATCGACTCTTGTGTCTGGCAGTATTAAAATAAACAATCTGTTTTATTACTATCGGCCAAACCGTCGCACTGTAAAAAAAAAAAAAAAGCATTTTACATCAAGCCGCAACCTGATTAGACGTGTTTGTCACTTCCTGGGTGATGAAACGTAAATAATGGAGCTGCTGTTGTGTTATATGCACGACTCACAAAATGTTTTGGCTTTCCGGTGAAGTCCATGGAAAACGGATGGCCGGACAAATGAAATAAAAGTCAGCGTCGATGACTACAAGCCAGCATTTCTGGTTAAACGTTAGTCCCGCGTCGTGTAGTCACTCAAATCCGTTGCGCATCAGGTTCCAAGAGAAACAACCCCCCCCCCCCCCCCAAATTGCACCTAACCCCTCAGCAAACACTCTGGAAATTGCATGTTCGGGAAGCTCCTCGGATCCCCTTCATCCTCCCTCCTTGTCTCAGGATGACAGCGCCGCTCACAGCGAGCACCAGGATCCCATCTCCCTGGCCGTGGAGATGGCCGCCGTGAATCACACCATCCTGGCCCTGTCGAGAAGCGGAGGGGTCCCCGGCGACATCAAGACGGAGGTCCTGGAAGACGACTGAAGGGCCAAAGGGGAGGAAGCGGCAAGAGGCCAAAGGGAAGGGAGCAATTTCAAGCGCGGCAACTTTGGGAGGACCATTGTGTGTTTGAACCCCAAGAAGTATCTCGAAATTCAGTTCTGTGTTGCAAGAGGTAATATACTGGAGAGGTATGTTCCCTGTGTCCACTTCTCGCAATGCACCTTTGCAGGAACTGAATTGATGAAATAGTTCCCGCGGTCCAAGCGCACCGTGTTCGTCCCAGAGGTCATAACGCCGGGCGGCCTTCCTAATTTTTTCCGAGACCTTATTCCCTCCCTTCCCATAGCGAGCCATCATGACCGATCGTCTCGACTTTCTGATGTATTAACTAATCGTACAACTCAAGACAAAGGATACAGCCTACCATCCCTGAAAACGATCTATGGCAAAAAAAGATGAAATAGAAGTGATGGCTTTTTTTTTTCCCCCCCTCCACAACCAAAACCTCCGTTCCCCTCCTCCCCCCTGATCCCCCCCATTCCCGCTTACCTCTGCAGCCTGGTCGTCTGAGCCAATCCTCACTCAGTCTCACTCAACCTCAGAGACAAACTCCACAAATGTGTACTGTACATAAGATATATGGTTCTTCTAGTTCTCAGTCACCCGAACGTAATGGCGCGCTACCTACCTACTCTGGCGACTCACCCTTGTTATTGTGCAATTAACGGCAGGAGAAGCCTCTGGACGATGTCTTTTGGGGAGGGGGGGGGGGGCAACGAACGGAAAGCGCCAAATCTGATGGGCGATTCCGTCACGCGCGCCCCGCCTCCCCCCGACGCTCGGACTCTTCTTAGCCTCTCGACGGAATCATTCAGGTTTTCTGCTGTCGAATGCAAACCTGGAGATGAATAACCTCACGTCGAATCTCGCCACAGCATGCCAAGTATGTGATAATGATGATGACGATGATTGTTTCAGTGTAGAAAAGAGCGAGTCTACATTCAACAGCAGAAAGTCTTCATGCTGATAGCGACGCTTAGCTCGTCGATGACTTAAGTGCTTGAGTGGATGAAGAATCAATTTATGGGTTCATGTGATAATCAAACAAAGGTAAGCTATCCACGAATGGAATCTGCGTTTTTGTTTTGAACGCCATCCATGCCAAAGGAAAAAAAAAAATGCCGCGTTGAGGCCGGCTCAAAGTCGGCCCTCGGCCTCGCGGACCGGTCTCGCCGCGGTCTTCGCCACTTCTTGGAAAAGATTTGGCAAAAGTGATGTAGTTTTTCTCTTGGGCCAGTTTGACCCGACGAGGGCAAGCCGTAATGTGCTCGCTCGCATACAGAGGCGGGACGTATAATCGTGACCGATCCGCCTCTATAAATGGCCAAAAGAATGTGACCGGAGCAGATTTGTATCGTGATCACGGGAACCCAAACTAAAACCCGCATATGGAATGCGTTGGGTCCGTTTGGCTCAAAGGTGAAAGCGCTGCATTGAAATGCAGTTTTTCTTCCATACGTGGCTCTCTCCCAAAAAGGACACGAGCAGCGTTTCAGTCAAACTGAGCTCGGCACTTTTTGACCAAAGGAATAGATTTACATTGTGGGAAAAATGTTCATTCGGCGTATTTTCATTGTTTTTCTTCAAAACGGTTTGCATACGTAACGATTATCGAAGTAACTTAACTCGAATGGAGGCAAAATCTTGTTCAAGCTATTCAACGAGACCAACGTCGATTCATTGAGAAGCCAGCTCGAAGATAAACAGTCAGCCGGAGATTAGATCATCACCTTCAGAGGCGAGCGGTTTGCGAAGCATTTCACCATTTGAAAATCTTCGCCGATTTGAAAACTGGAGGAGAACCCCACATAAAAGGAGAAAAAAAAAATCCAATAGTTTTCCCGACACTTTGGAAAAAAGCCATTTTCACCTCCTCCCCCCAAATCAATAAAAAAATAGTGAAATGTATTTGCTTTTAATGCTCTTTGAGCCACTGTCAAAGGTGATTTATTATTTTATTATATTTGATTAAACCATTACCACAATGAACGCCCCCCCCCAAGAAAAAAAATAGTATGTATGCGACTAGCCTCCGAGAAACAAATAATTGACGAATGGCTTTGCGTTGTCCTCATGAATCACCTTTTCCCAAAGTGTAACCCGAATCTTTTGAAGAGGCCCTTATGTGATGATTTCGGAAAAGAATATGTCATGTGGATCAAAGCTCTCCTGCAACGTAACATTTTCATGCATTTCAAAAAGGATTTTAGGGTTTAAAAAAAAGTATTTATACTCATTTTTAAGGCTAATAATGTACAAAGTGTTTTGAAAAGAAACATGCTTATTGTTAAATTAATCAAGCTTTTTTTTTATGTTCACCAGATTTTTTTTTTTTTTTAAACATGTGTTTTGTCATTCATTTTTCGACTGAACGGCAGTCTTCCTGTTTGTGTCGGAGGTATTTTGCGAAAGACAAATGACGATGCACCTTACAAAGCGGAACGCGACTTGGACCCGATGCCATTTTGTCCCTCGTCCCTGTAGCCAGACTCCTTGGAAATGGGAGCGCTTCGGTGTTTCCTATTTTGGCGTGGAAAAAGAAAATCAATTAGATGTAGTGAGGTCCAGAAATAGTTGGACTCCCAATTTTGCCTTGATAGACCACAATGGATTTGAAAAAAATAATAAATTAAAGATGCGATTGAAGTCTCGATTTAAAGACCCTGTAAAGTGAATCTGATGTTCTGAAAACGAGTACTCGTGGAGAACTATATCGTACTGAATTTTAGTTTGTACAAAATTTTAGTTTTTTTTCTTTATTTTTTAAGTCTGCCTTGACAACTAACATGCGGAACAAGTGATTCAGGCTTAGAGCGCCTCGTTGTCGCAGCAAGCCCTGCGACAACCCAAAGGGCTCGTTCACGTTGAGAGCATGACAGAATGGCTTCATCTTTCACAACTTAGAAACCTCACTTTATATGTACTTGCTGATTTATTTCTCTTTTTTTTTCAATGTTAAGATTTAGCTGTCATATTAAAACTTCCCTTCTCTGTCAAATTTTGAAGACATTGATTTTCACTTTACAAGGACTTTAAGGGAGAAAGTCAGCAGCTCTTTGCTAAAATGTAACCATTTTCCATTTCAGAAAAGGAAGGCTATGAAGATGTTCTTATTTTAGACAAAGCAAGATTGGGTGATTGATTTGGTCATTCGGAAATCATTCCATTTCTTTGCCTTGAAAAAGTTGCTTGCATGAATCTGTTCTGAATTTCTTCCCGTTTGGTTGAAGAATTGGTTTCGACAGCTAACCTTGGTTTCAGTCGTCAGAAAAATGGAACGCTTTCCCTCCTCTGCTCTATTTCTGTAAAACAACTTCAAACTGAACCTAATCCAATCACATCACGTTTTTTCCAAATCGGCCAAGAACGCAAAATGACAAAGCCGTGACTTGACTCTTTTGGAAAACTTGCGGTTTGTGTGTGAGGATCTTGGCCCACATCACGAATAGTGTTGAAAAGCTCACTTTGTCTTTGCCGCGCACACAAGAGTGCGCTTGGAGATTCTCACTTGAAGCTGCTTTCAAAAGAATTGTCTGTATTGTTTCAGAGATGAAACCGCAGTCCAAATTTCTATCGGGCAGTGTTGAAGCTCGGCAGAGGCCGTTTCGCTTTCGGGTGCTCCCGTAGCGAATGGGATGTTTTGAATTTCCAGTAAGGTGACTCGTTTGAAATGGGAGGCCGCATGTCTGACGCCGGTCCAAAGCTCCCTCCCCAGCGGCAACGCGTGCTCCAGTTGCAGTCCAGGGATATCCTCTCGTGGTACGTCAGGGTTTCCATGTTCCGAGTCCCTCCTCTGTGTCCCCTGCACGTAAAACACCTCATCCGAATATAGCTCAGAAAAAGAGGACTGAATGCTGTTGTATCAATCTCAAAAGCTATGTTATGTTCAATTGTATTGCCCATTTTGAAATTTAGTGCCTTTTTTGGACAGTAGACTGTTCTGTAATTAAGATGTAGTATATATATGCATTTTTGTACAGTTTCTTTGTTCATTTTTTTAACTTGTGTTTATTTTAGTATGATATATATATATATATATATATATATATAAATAATGTACAAGAGAATAAAGCTATATCACTGAAAAGTACTTTGATATTTGCGTTTATTACTTATGTGTTGCCTTGTCATGTGTTTTGTCAAGGTCAAGGTCATCTTTGTTATACATAAAGCATATTTGACAATAAAGATGACCTTGACCTTTGTGGACTTGGAGAAGGCGTTCGATGGGTGTCCCTCGAAGAGTTCTCTGGAGGGTGCTTTGGGAATATGGGCGATGGAACTTCCTGATACGGGCTGTTCGGTCCAAACACCGCCGATGTCAGGGTTCGGTTCGTGTCGAGTCTTAATTAATTTCCAGTGAGAATTGGACTGCACTAAGGCTGCCCTTTGTCACCGATTCTGTTCTTAACCTTTGTGGACAGAATTTGTCGGTGCAGCAGAGCCATTGAGGGGGTCCGGTTTGGTGGCTTTGGTATTGCATCTCTGCTTTTTACAGATGCTGTGATGCTGTTGGCTTCGTCAAGCCGCGATCTCCAACTCTCACTGGAGCAGTTGGCAGCCGAGTGTCAAGCGGTTGGGATGGAAATTAGCACCTGCAAATCTGAAACGACGGTCCTCAGTCAGAAACGGGTGGACTGCTCTTTCCCGGTCGGGGATGGGATCTTACCCCAAGTGGAGGAGCTGAAGAACTTCGGGGTCTCGTTCACGAGTGAGGGCAGGATGGAGCGAGAGATGGACAGGCGGACCGGTGCAGATGAAAGGACTTGAGCCGAAAAGCGAAGCTTTCAAATTATTGCTCGATCTATGTTCCGATCCTTCAACTATGGTCAAGAGCTGTGGGTCGTGACCGAAACAACAAGATCCCGGATACAAGAGGCCAAAATCACTTTCCTGCACAGGGTGACCGGGCTCCTCCCTTAGAGATAAGGTGAGAAGCTCGTCATCCGGGAAGGGCTCAGAGTCTAGCCGCTTCTCCATGTCAAGAGGAGCCGGATGAGGTGGCAGCTGATTAGGATGCCTCCTGGACGCCTCCCTGGTGAGCTGTTCCGGGTGGGACATGAGTCAGTCCAAACGCCCAAATATTTCCATTTCAAAACGTTCTGGAGAACCTCGCCGTCATATTTTCAAAGCAAATAATTGAAGCCAGCATTAAGTGGTAAACCACTCAATGCAGGCAAATCTTTGGTACTTAGAATCCAATTTCTGAGAAATATCCTCATGAAATTGGTTCTCTCTTTGAGACTGAAAAGGGCAAACAGATTTGATGTTTCAAGTTCTGTGAATGAAGGGCACACGTTTAAAACAAAAAATATTCAAGCTGGAACATCACGTTCATAGTCCATTATTGTTTTATGTCAGAAAATGACTCAATTTATTCATGTCACAAAACATTGTTAAAAAAATATACCCCAAATGTTTTTGCTGCATTTAATTCATGGAAGAAAAAAAAAGCTCTTTGCACAATTCATGATATATTCTCAACAATCAATAAGGCACACAAAACTAAAATCATTTTTTTAGAAACAATCCTCAAGCAGTAAAACGCTTTTGTGAAACTATCCTCATCTTCTAAATACGGTATGATCATTGTTAATGCAAAAGTAAAAGAAAACCGACACTTTTTAGCATGGAGCTTTACAAAGTCTGGAAGTGAACAACACACGCAGCATTGAATGAAACCTTAGGGAGAAATAGGTAAGATGTGCAAACACGGAACATATTGAATCGTGTTTACGGCATCAAGTATGTACAGCCTCAACCATGGCACCCCTACGGCATTTTAGGCCATGGGATGAGTGAGTGAGAGTGAACCCGACATTGCACGGCTGAGCCTCCTCTCAAGAATTTTTAAGGTCCTCTGCACCATCGTGAGAAGGTAATGACGATGATGATGATGCAAAGGCAGCATCACCTTTGGGCAGCGCCGTGAGCGCCTCCAGGTTCGGAGTGGATCCCGACAGGTTGGCACTGCGACGCTTCTGCTGCTGTCGACGGCGTTTGGCACCACCGCGGCTCACCCTGTCCGGCCGGACGAGGACTCCGTAACCTGGATTGCAGTGGAAGTAGTGCTTCCCGCCCACCGAGCCGTCATTCTTTCCTGGTAAACGACAGATGTGATGCTCCAAAGTCATGATTAGTGCTCTTGTCACCCCCACCCCCCCCTCAAATGTATGTATTTATTGAGACCGTGTCTGTCTGGTTTTATTGGCTCAAACTGATCCAGTGGATCACAGTATTCTGTTGGGCATTTTTGTTCTTTGACTTTGCCATGGTTTTAAATCAAAAGGATCTTTTCCACTCACCTGCAGGTACCTCCAGTTCCACTCCCACCCACACGCCTTGGGCAAAGTCTGTGGGTCCCACGTAGCGCACGACGCCGCTTTTATTGGTCCCGACAGTGACGAATTCCCCTTCTTTCAGCCAGTCGGGCAGAGAGACGGCAGCGGCTCCCGCTCCTTCCCCGCAGTCTAAGATGAGCTCCAGGGGCTCGGCGAGATTGCTGTGCGATGGTGAAGCGCTGCCGGTCTCGGTCTGAACGGGGTCCCCTTCCGGCTCCCCGAGTATACGTCGGAAGGACTTGAGATCCGATGACTGGACTTTCTGTATCTTGAAAGGTTTGACTGCTGCTGCAGGCGATTTGGAGGGTTTTGCCGAGGCAGCGGACGTTGCGGCCAGGTGGACCTCCTCACTGGAGGGAGCTAGGATGGCAGAACCGCTGGAGTCCATGAAAGGGGATTTTTCCTGGGAACAAGATGGTGGATCGCAATTCTTCGGTGGGACCGGAGGCGGTTCGGATGACGTGTGGGTGAAGACAGACGCAGGAGCTTCTGGATCTGTCTCAGTCCGGTCTGGGTTGGATGGTTGGTTCTTCTCACACACTTTTTGAATTGCTTTACTTGCTTCTTTCACATTCGTTTGAACACTTTCAGGAGCAAAAGTCTCTGGTTGTTGCTCTTCCACAAAAAATGAATTTGGCGGTGTCAGCACACTGTCTACTTGCTTTGGTGCCATCGGGTCACGTTCTAAATGCACTGGCATCGTCGGGCTATCGGACGCTGCGCATGCAGAAGAGGCTTTGATTTCCTGCGCTGCATGAGAGGCATTTGGGTCCCGGAGATTCCGATTTAAATGAACTAATGAACTATCCTTTGGTTTGTACTGCGGCAGGTCGGTGTTCTCCGCAGTTGCTGGGAAAGCCTCCTGAGGTTCAGATCCAGAGCCACCCTCAGATGGAAAGGAGAGTCTTTGCATCGCTTCCTCGTCTTCTTCGTTCGTCACGGCCGCAAAGCTGGCGGCCCTTTGACCTGACGACGGAGGAAGGTCCCAGCTCAGCGTGTAGACGTCTGAAAGCGGCGCCGTCGACATGTACCCGCTGGACGCTTCGCTCAGCAACTTCTGGGTCTCTGGGATGATTGGCGGAGGGAGAGGCACCGATCTGGGGCTCTCCTGGGACATGACAGCAGGGCTGCTTTGCTCAGTCGCAACCTGAAGGCATACCACGATGACTTGTGTGATTACTTTGGGGTTTTTGTTCATTAATGGTTGACTGGACAACGGTTTGGTCCGCGTGCGTGGCAGAGTGTGAGTTGAATTGCTTGAGCCTGCAGAAAAGGACAACGTCTTGATCCTCAAACTTACTTGCAGGCGTGTGTCGTTCATTCCCTCTTCCACACTGGCGGACTGCACCAGGATACGAGGCACGTTCTGGAACAGAGGAGCAGTTGTCAAGGCTCGACTTCTGTTTTCCAACACATCACCGAAAGTAGACTCAGAAGCCTGTTTGCAACTCACTCTTTTCTTCAAGCTGTCTAAGCCACTGGTCCCAGACCTTTTTTGTGTCACGGATCAGTTGAGTACATGCTGATCACGCACTGGGAACGATTTGTTTTTTGAGGGGTGGGAGGGCTTTTAAATTGTCCGTATTTATAGTGTTACGTATTCTACTGGCTAAAAACGCCTGAATATACATGGTCGTTTTTTTTCGGGCTAAAAACGTCTTAAAATATGTGGTCTTTTTTTCGAGGTAAAAATGCCTTGCGAAATATGGTCGGTTTTTTTCGGCGAAAAACGCCTTCCTATGAATGGTCGTTTTGTAGCACTAAAAACACCTTACTATTGGTGGTTTGGTTTTTGTTTTGGGCTAAAAACGCCTTCCTATACATGGTGGGTCAGGGTGGGCTGAAAGCGCCTTACTATACGCTGTCGTTTTTTTCGGCTAAAAACGCCTTATGACACATGGTCGTTTTTTTGGGCTGAAACCGCCTTACTATATATACATGGTCGTTTTTTTCCGGCTAAAACTGCCTTACTGGATATGGTCGTTTTTTTTCAGCTAAAAACGTCTTCCCACGTCCAGTTTGATGGTCTCTTTTGAAATAAAGAAATACATTCGCCGTTTTTAGCCCGAAAAAAAGGACCATGTATAATAAGGCGTTTTT